AATCCCTGGCACCCTCCCCAAATAAGAAACAAAGAAAAGCAGTAATTATTCCCTAATTTTAGAAGTTAACCATTGAGTAGAAAAAGCAAACTTTAGCTTAGTTTCTCCTACGCTACACTCACAATTCAGATCACTTCTGCAATCCCAAAATGTGTGGCGACTTCTTCTCAGTAGTAATCAACAAGTAATTCTGCAGTGTCTTCTGATTTAATTCTGCTCTGACACCATCTACCTAGAGACAGGATCAGATCTCACAGATCTAGGGCCCAGCTCTCAAGACTGGCCCCCAACTTCTGATGCCAATCTCAAGTTCCAGGGTATTTTGCCTGTGCTTCTGACAGGCTGGCTATAAATTAGGGTTCCCACAACCCCCTCCTTGGGTTCAATTAATTTTCTAAAGTTGCTCACAGAACTCAGGGGGAACCCATTGTTAAGGTTTGGGTATGAGATGTCCCTCAAAAGCTCCCGCGTTAATGCAGGAGGTGGATTGGTCAGATCATGAGAGCTTGTAACCGAATTCGTGGATTAATCAATTTGATGGATCAATAGTTTGAAAAGACTTCTGTATGGGAGATCAGCAGGTGGGCCATGGCTGGAGGAGCTGGGTCACTAGAGGTGTGCCTTTGGGGTTTATATTTACCTGGCACCTGCTTGCTCTCTCTCTCTCTCTGATTCCTGGCTGCCATGATGTGAGAGCACTCCTCCACCATGCCCCTCTGCCACGGTGCTCTCCTCCACTGAGCCCCTCTGCCACGGTGCTCTGGCTCACTCAGGCAAAGAGTAACAGAGCCGGCTGACCATGGACTGAACCTCTGAAACCATGAGCCCCAAATAAACTTTCCCTCCTCTAAGTTGTTCTTGTTAGGTTATTTTGGTCAGAGTGATGAATAGGTGACTGACACATACGTGTACTGGTTTATTATAAAGGACATTACAAAAGTACAGATGAAGAGATGCATAGGGAAAGGCATAAGCAAAGGGCATGATGGCTTCAAGTAACTGCCACATGTCCAGATAGCTGGAAGCTCTCTGAACACTGGCCTTCAGGGCTTTCATGGAAGCCTTCTTGTGTAGGCACCATTGAAGCTTGAACAGTCATGTAAAAGTATGCTGGGACATGATCTGGTTATGGTCTGGTTTGGGAGTATAGGTCAGTGGTTAGAGCATGTGCTTAGAATGTGTGAAGCTCTAGGTTCAACCCCAGCACAGAGAGAGAGAGAGAGAGAGAGAGAGAAGTTATGATTTACATATACTAGACTGAGTGGGAAACCCTGTGAGGCCCTTCTGCCCAGATTCGACTCAGCCTCCCTACGCAGCACTCCTTCTTGCTGAGTATGGAGTGGGACTCCTTCTGAGATATGGGGGTCTGATGATCTGACAAAG